GGTTGACTTATAATAGCTGGCAGAAAAGCGAAAAAATTGCTCTCAATTCAACCTCTCAGCACAATGGTGCAGTAATACAGTTAAAGGTGAAAATTTAGATAAATGTGAAATAAATAGGCGAAAAGATGAATTAAAAATATATATTTTGGTTCTTTTACAGGAGGCGTTTCCAGATCAATTTAATTTTACGTCCCAATTTATAATGGCTAATTCAAATAAAAAAACGAAAAAAAGCTCTATGACAGGTGATAACAATATTTCATTATGAAATGCCTAAAAAATTATAAATCCGCATTAAATTCTTTCTTCTTCTTCTTCTAACAGTACTCACCAATTTTTAACAGTGCATAATTTTGGCTTTGTTTCACTTGCTTGTTAGAATGGTACCATTTCGTTATAAATATATGCCTTCAATTACGATTAGTTTCGTTCCATTCTTTTCCTCTTAAATTACGGAAACACTGGATGGGCGAATACCAACAGTAGCCCGGATCATCGCAATTTAACAAATTAATGGTTCAGATTCCCATTAGAGTAAAACTGTACTTAAAAATTCATGCTGGCGATCCATCGTACTTCTGTAGCCAAGAGAAAGAAAATTTTATGCTTAGCGCAACTTTCTACTAATCCAGCTGAGTGCGCATAACAAAATATGTTAAGCGCTAATCACCTACCTTAAACCTCAAATTGTAGAGAGTATTTGGCATAATTTTATTATTTTTTAAAAAATTTTTATTTCATAAACTTTATTGCTCCAACCGTTTCGATTTTTTTGTTTCGCAAAATTTCGGGCTTTAAATAAAAATGACCGAACCACTCACATTCTCAGGTCATTTCCTTCCTGTTTCAACTAAAGGTCTCTCTCCGATTTTTCTCCGTTATAATACAGTCCGAGGATTTCAGAAACAATTGTAATCAGTCATATTTTCCTCAATACCTACTGATTGTATGAAAGGATTTTCTTTGTATACTGGTTCGCCTCAAACTTCATAGCCAAATACTATATAAATCAAAAAGCCACTTTTTTTGATTATAAATATTCACTGAAGTGAGATTCTTCGATTGTTTGAGATTGAATTTTATTGAGAAATTTAAGCATAAAATAGTGGCTTTTTATAAAATCTTCTAACAGCATTTATCACTTCTGATTAGTTTATGCAGGATTGAGACTTTGAGCTAGAGAGTTAGTTGAGTTAGCAGTGCTCCCAGTCTTAGTACCACTCATTGGCATGTTCCCACATGTAAAGGAACCCAACGGTTCGAATCCATAATGCATGACGATCTTAGCTTAGCTAAAACAATATGTATATTATCTTTTCTCTTCACAAAGTATATAGTAATGCTAATTAATAAAAAAAAAGGAAAATTAAAAATTTTAATTGTCTTATTTATATTTATTGTAACATATTTGATATAATTTTTTGCAAAATCAAAGTGAAGTGATTTAATATTTTAAAAAATTATTTAAACCAGCAGTAGTTTAATAAATTTCCCGTCATTAAATCGACTTCTTTAGACGAAACCGATTTGAATTTAAACAATATAATTTCCAAGAATAGGACAGATGTTGGAAATGAAAATGAAACTTTTGAAAATTTGCCATTGGATGCCAAGTTCTATTGCTTCCGAGAATCCACTACTGCCGATGGAATCAGAAGAGGATTTGACCCGTTGGACCCATGTACTTCTCAGCAATATATCGCGCCGACACCATATTATAACGAACCAATCAAGTATAAATTCGATTCTTTGCGAATTTTATGAAGTATATAAGCTTCGAATCAACTCATAAATCCGAATGAGTCCCATTTCCAAATTTTATTTAGAATACGGAAAATAAATAGAGAGGATTTAATACATATGTTTGCATTGAACGATTCATGCAATCCAGAAGAGAGACTATGAGACATAAATGAACAACGTAAAGATTCCATAATCTCAAGCTTCTGACAAAGCACCTGTGCGCAGACTTAAGCTACGCTTATAAATTGTGATTTGTCGTATTAATCGGATATTAACTTCAGGACATCCTCCAGAGAAATTCCATCAGTTAAAATGAATTTAAATAGAGCAAATGAAGCCGAAAATTTTGCACCATATTCTACTTCTTACTGGCCATGGATTAAAGTATCAAGACATTCCTCATCTTTCATCGTGAAAATTGTAAATAGCAACAAAAGTAAGTCATTACAAATTGAGCCTTTTTATCAGCCTTAGGTTCTAAGATATAATCTTTAAGCACGTTCAATCAGTTTATTCAATTTCAAATTATTTTTTATTTCAAATATGGGCATTGGTAATGGTGAGAAACCTCCGGAATGAACAAAAGCCATTTTACCCTTCCACTGCCCACATATAGTAGTATCAGTGCAGCTCTTAACTGACCCTCTTCGCTTTTGACACAGTTCGTAACAAAGACTCACCGAGACTCACGGATATATTTTCTAATTCCTATAGTGAACGGTGAATTGTATGGACTAATATATAAAAACAAAGATAATGTTACTAAACTAGGCAGTCAAGTGGAAGAGGATGTGATTCCATCCAACTACACCAAACAATATAAAGTAAAGTAAGTAAATACGTCTCTTGGATGGCGGTCAGGTGTTCCAATAATCCATTCTATTGGCAAAATGGAAAAAAGGAAAGAACCCTGGCCTACAGATCTTATTTCGAATAGTTATTGTTTTCGCAAAGGTGCAACTAATAATTGCTGGCAAATTGCTCGTTATTCAGTTTATGATGATTTCCATGGCCAATGAATTTCTAGTCGAAATCCAAAATGTTTTCTGGCTATTAATTTTCTTTGTCGAAACAGGTCAAACTCCCTTATGAAAGTTATCTATCCTTCATTTCTGCCCTTTAGTCCATAGCTTTTGTGAGGAAACCGAAAATTGTAAGATTTTAATCAACCAATAAATTTCAGGCCAGCATCAAATTAATGATACGAAGGAAACGAATATCACTGATCGAACTTTTCTACAAAACTGTAATTTTAGTGACACTTCGGTTAGCATTATAAATAATTTTAATTGAACTTTATCATTTTTTTCGATTTTATCCGGAAAATAATGCTAGCGTCTCAATGATTTCTATAGTTCCAATCTAATAGACTCCTATTCTATTGTTGTTTTCAGAACTGCATCAACGATAATTTTATGATAAATGAAAATAATTTTACAACAGAGCTACCGTTTTTATCAGATGTGAATAAGGTACAATTTATTAATGATTAGAACTTAAAAAATTGGTACTTTTGGTGACTATTTGGTGACTAGATCCATTGATAGATTTCAGAATTTTTTCAGAATTTATCCAAACAATAATTTAACTCTTTAACTCTTATACTAATTTAAAGAATATATGAGTGGATAGCGCTCGTTTTCGGTTAGCCTAGCTCTGCTAATCGTTAGTATGGTTAAAACTTGTCCTTAGAAATAAAATTTTCTTCCATTTAACATAACAATTGTTTTAACGACTAGGGAAGGATACCCCTCAATACGATAACATGAAGCACTCTCCACTCGCCTATCCTTCCCCTTTCCGCCCCAAATAGGAAATAGAATATTATAAAGCCATAAATCGCAATAAAAAAGCTGGAATTTCTTCGATTCATGTTAATTTACTTATAGGAAATCCAATGTGAAAATGAAGAATTCTTGCTAAATTTGCCCAACGAAAATGGTTTTAATTTCGATGATAATGTTTATTATAATCAATGGAATACAAATAAGTTGGAAGAACGCGAAATTTTAAATGAGTTTTTCATTATGCCGAATTTTGACAATGAAAATAATTTTGACAATAATTTCCAAGATCCATCAAGTACGGTGAGTAATTTATTAAAAATATTTGGATTTAAGAATAAAAATAAGGAAATAAGGCTTTTTTGATTTTTTCATAATTGCATTAATGCATCCATTTGGAGTAAAATCCTAAAATATTTATTTTAATACGGAATTTTTGGCTTAATTTTGACCAGTGATTGAGTTTGTAGGCGATTATCTTATCAGCGAAGATCTCAAAGTAATTTGATAATTTATTACATTCCTTAGTAGTAACTGAGTAGTTAGCACTAACCATTTCTCACTAGGTTTACTATTTGTTAGTATGTTTAGAAATTTTTGCCAAGAACTTCGGTGACAGAAATACACTTGGGTCGCCAGTATCAAACGTATTTTGACATATATTTACTGCAATTTGAGGCATCAGCCAATCATCAACTCTCCTTACCACGATAATTTTAGCTATTAGCCATAAAGCTGCTTTCTAAATAGTAAATAAATCACTATTTAAAGATGCAGGACGAGAGTTCAATTCCATATATTACTCAGCTTTCGAACACAGGGAATCATTTCATGAATATTGTTGAAATTGAAGGAAAAAACCAGAAGACATTTTGTAACCCATATGCATATACATATATTAAACCATGAAAATTTTCTCTCCTATAGTCAAGGATTTGAATTTCCATGAATTATTTAATGAGTTAAGAAAAATCCAGGAATCAATGCGAGGATGTAAAAATTTTTAGATTCAATATTTTTTTAACGAAAATATTCAAATATAAAGAAAAATTAGTGAATGAGAATCCTAATGCGATTGATCTTGCGATTTTTATTCATCGTCGAACATAATAGTTTGCCAACTTTAGTAAAACAAAGTAATTTATCTTAATTACTACTTTCTATTCTCAATTGATTGTTTTATGAACAAATTTTATTCTTCTCTAGCTTTTTACTTTTCAAATAATAACATTATAGGTTTTTTTAATATTCAAATAAATCTTTAAATAATCGATAACTAACAATAAATAACAAAATAGCTAGTAAAATAAAATAAAAACGTAAAATTTTTCAAAATCTATAAGAGCTGAAAAGTATGAAAAAAAGAGCTGAAAAAAATCAGTTACATTCAAGCAATTTACAAAATTTTTTAGAATTCTAATTTAAAAGCAAAGATGAATTTTAAAAATCACCAATAAATTAATATTACTGGAATTAAATATTCAAATCTGCATATACTCTCCTCAATTTTTCCTTCTTTCCTCTGTTATAATGTTTCTTAGATTTTGGTACCATACCTACTTGTCCATGATCCAAGGGGAGTGATCGCATATTCCGTATATGTGCAGCAGGTGTAGAACTTGAAAAAAATTCTCGATCAATATTCTTCCCAATCTCCTTTGCATTATTTAATAGATGGCGCTTTAGTAACTGCAAAAGATATATAAATCAATATTCGGTGACCAAGTCTGGCACTCAACAATTTTCATATGTAAATAAAAACACCCACTGACTTATAGTAACAAGGATGGTGCGATAATAGTGTACGAAAGGTGATCTAGAAAAGAAATCTTTGTTTCCAACGCATTACTATAATAAAATTGTTACTTGTTTTATCAACACGGAATTTTCTTCTCTTCCATTTTTTTCAAGTTTTTCGACGACATCATCATCATATATAAGTCCATCGAAACAACTCTGATCAACATCTGGTGGTGCTGCAACCCATTTCAATTTGCCGCTAACAACATCTTTGATTAACAGACGTGCAGCACGAGAGCAATCTGGTATACCTGATGGTGACATGAAACCTACAACAAACAAATTGACTCCACTATAGAAGGAAATTGATTAATCTATTACCTCTCATGAAGGCTATCGCAGTTAAAAGTTCTTGTGTTTCAACCGTTTTATTCATTCCCTCTTTCGAAGTCGGAAGAATCAAAGAATAAGCCTTTTCGAAATGGTGCACCGGAATTCTGGACTGTAATAAGGCTATAGGGCCGAAATAATCGCGCATATGATTCACAGACAAAATTCCATTAAGAATCATTTCACTGTGACTGAATGCGAAAGATGGCATTACAAGACCAGGACAATCACAAAGTATTAGCTGAAAAACTTTAAACAATTAAAACTATTTTAAAATTATTGAGCCAGCTATCTAGTACTTTTTAAATGAAAACATACATCCAAATTTTAGGCTCATCAACGCAGTACTTGCAATACGAATAAACAACGAATTTTTAAAAAGAAGAAGAGTTAAAAAGTGAAAAATATAAAACTTTATAGAAATATCGAAACTTTAGAACATTAAAAATATAAGACAAAGCCAAGCCAGAAAATTTTATATACCTCAGAATCAATATTTATAGTTTGAAAATGTCGAGTTTTACCAGGTGTACTAGAAACAGAAACTTTTTTTTGACCGAGTATTCGATTTATTGTAGAACTTTTGCCGACATTTGGATAACCAACCAATCCCACCACCAACGGTCGACTCCCATTCTCATGCATACAGTGTCCTCGCTTTTTCAAGAATGCAATAAGTTCCTGAAAATAATTTTCGATACAATAATTATAATGAAATTTAATTTTTAATCAATTTAACCAATTTGCAATGAAAGATCAGAAATAGTCGAGTGGAGTTAAAAAGTGAAAACTTAAAAAACTTAAAACTATAAAACTATATAATTATATAAAACTTTATAGAAATATCGAAACTTTAAAACATTAAAAATATAAGACAAAGCCATTATATAATAAGACAAATATAAGACAAAGCCACCTGACCTACTCCAAGAAGAATATCCAGTCCTTTTTGGTCTCCTTGATCTAATATTACTGATCTTCCCTAAATCACAAATATTCTTAATTTTTATTCATAATTCTTATTAACTTGATTCTCCTGACAGAAATAAACCTATCCAGATGTTATTTGCAACACACCTACATTGGGATGGTACCATGGGTAGTGGGTTGTTTTCACTTCGATGCTGTGACTCTATTTGCCTTCCACATAGCCCATGTTGAAACTGGCAAAAGTTCCTTTAATAAACAATTCATCTATACTTCTATTGTCAACTGAAAACTCCCTGGTAAAATTTCTGGTCCGACAAACAAATGGAGCGAGCTTAACCAGAAATAATAAACTCCTAGTAAATGAAAATTTTTAATCAAGATATTCAAATATGCACTTCAGGATTTCTCAACACTGGAGCATAATTTTCATTCAATAGCTCTGTTCCGCTTTCATCATTACTTCCATGAAATATTGCATTGAGGTTTTCTTCACACTCAGATGAGCTTGCACTTTCTCTTTCCTCTTCATCTTCACCATACTCATTTTCGTCACACATTATCGTCCTCCTTTTTTCACTCATTGCACCATCACTTTTTGATTTTTCCGTGTCAACTGAAGACCTGAACTTGAAAATAAGATCCCTTAATTTAAAATTATAAGAAAAAAGAGAGAAATACAAACCAAAAAACTGCTTCGATTCCATTATCATACATCCATTTCCTCCATATATTTAACTGTTCACATGTTAGAAGATCAATTTTATTAATTAAAAGCAAATTCTGTTTGCCTATTTCGCATTCATTAACGTATTTTTCAAGATCCAAGCTTCGAAATAACAAAGGATTTCTAGCATCAACAATCTAGAACAAAGAAGATAGTGGGTGAGAAATAAAAATAAAAATTATCTACTAACACCAATTAAAGTTGAAATAATATACTTGAATTATTATATCGGATCTTTCAACAACCCGCCACAGCTGCCTCCATACTTCGATATTTCGTTCGAAAGGAGTTAAAACCACACCATCAATCTAAAAATGTGAATAACTCAAAAATCATTCGAAAAATTTTGTACTAGCGAAAATGAAAAAAAAAATTCCTATAAATGCATAATTATAATACATACATATATATTATAAATGCATAATTATAATATATACATATATATTATAAATGCATAATTATAATAAATACATATATATTATATAAACAACTTTTTGTAATTCAGAAAGTTGCATGCGCCATTCCAAAAAATTTTTATTTTCGATGCTGATTAGTTCTTCTGCATTCTGCCATAAATCTTTCTTTGGTCTTCGCGGTATTTTCAACCGTTCAGCATAACGCTTTTGCAGTTCTACGCTTGAAAGAATATCTATTTTTGATGGGACCACATAAACCGCACTTTTGCTGAATTGAATAAAAATTGTATTAATTGAACTAAAATTGTATTATTAAATTCATATATTATATTATAATTACAATATATTATAATTATAATATATATTAAATTCATATATTATATATTATGCAAAAAATTTGAAAATTACATTAATCATATTTTAAAAAATTTTTGAAAAAACTATTCTCATGAACAATAAATGAAAAATCCGTTGAAATAATCCGTTAATTTTTGTAATCATTAAAGGAGTTTTAGAGTTTAAAAAATGCTTAAGATAGAGAAACACGTTAAAAAAAAGTTTCCTGGATGAAATAAAACAATATAAATATAAATATATAGTAAAAAATATTTGAAAAATGCATCTAAAAAAACCAAAAAATTTTATAAATAAAAAAACTTACTCCAACAGACGAATGTCTCCCTTTTCTGCAGTAAAATCAGTATTAGCAAGTTCAACTTTAGCAAGGAACTCGGCTAAATCTGTTTCCTGCGTAACAGATTCAATATTTTTATTCGCTTTCTGAAAAAATATATATATATAATGAAAAAATAAAAGAAATAAAAAAAAATTTTTAGAAAACTAATGAGAAACTAAAAGAAAAATAATTTTCTTTTCTGTTCAATTTTAGCTTAATAGACTTCACTAGCCATCAGGATGAGAAATTTTCACATTATCCACATCTAAAATTATTTAAAACAGTTTTCCATCTACGTTCTACGTTTTCCATCCTTCAAGCTATCTTCCATATATGGCTGGACCACTTATGCGTTTAAAATTCTAAACAAAAAATCCACGTCTTAATCAGGTTCGCAAGCCATCCTTAGATATGCCTCAAATCTTGTAAGCAATATGAACATAAGCAGCAAAGGCAATATTGATGCCATTGATGCAGTAATATTTGAATAAAGAAGGAAAAAATTATTCATTCCACACAACGAACAAAAGATGACTTCTTGACACTCTTATATACTCCCATTCTTACTGGCCTTATCTTACAGTGTAACAGAACAACAGAAATGCACGTGATGCAATCAAATGGGAATTTTCGATGATAATCTTGCTTCCACAAATATATAGCTGTAGGAACGAATTTGCAGCCGAAAGAGCTGGAATTTCATCTTCCTTCCGACCATCAGGCATGGCAGGGGAATCAAGATATTCGAAAGCAAGTGCTTCATCAACTAGCTGTAGGACATTTGTCATCGTCTAGTATATAATATGTTCATCTTTTCTTACCTGCAGCACCACCACCTTTGCAGTAAGATGTGGTCCAACGCCTATTATAATTCTTCATAACTACCAGCAAAAAGGATAAATTAATTCAAGCCTATGAGATAGATGCAGTCTATCTCATTTCTCTCTTGACAAGAGCAAATCTTTCCAGAAGGAATGAAATCCGAGTGGTGCTAATCCCAAGTGAAAAATCTCGATGCTCTACGCTGAACGTCTAAAATAAAATAAAATCTCACGCATGATTTAAAGTCATATGAAAAAAAAAACACGGCTTTGACCTATATAAATTTCTAAAAAAAAATAGAATATATGAAATTTGAATAAAAATTTTCCAACTCTATATAAAACAAACTTTTTTGTAGATCGGATTATTAATTTTTTCGCTATTCAGTTTGATTTTTGCTTCATGAAATTGCAATCGCTGCTGTTCGCGATAATTCGCCAATGAATTACCCAACGACAAATTAACACCATTTGGCTTTTTGTTCTTTGGCCGTCGTTTTGTCATCTATAATTCCAATTATAAGAGAGATAACTAATTAATTAAATAATTGAATAGATTAATAAATTCAGAAATAATTTATTATAACGAAAAAAATTAGAAATAAATTGTAAATGGTTATAAATATTCGGTGATTGTTTTTTCCTTCAGTTTTTTTTCAGCAATCGTTTCGTTTGTTATTTGTCGAATCGTTATTGAAAACTTTTTTACTCTCCATTAAAAGCATTTTATACAAAAATGTACAAAAATAACGAATTTTTACACCGTAATTATAAAAAAAGGAGGACTAAAAGCAATAATAGCAAATATAATATAATTAATATAATATAATATAATAATAGCAAATATAATTAATATAATGAATTAATATAATAAATATAATTAATAATATATAATATATAATATATTAATAATATATAAATATAATAAATAATAAATAAATATGACAAAAAATAACTAAACTACTCTCCGACCTGGAAATAGTATTCGATAATAAATAGTAATAAGAAAAATGATGGCCTGAAATACAATTTTTATTTTCCACAAATTAAAATTTCGGCTGCAGCTGACGTGTAGAAATCCTATAAATCAACTTAAAATTCATATTGAACATTAAGGCTGAATTATAGTGGCGAGTTTAATGAAGTGGTGCTAGGCAGGCTATTGATCGTCTTATTTGGTTGGGTAATTTTTTGAAATAGATTTTAGGAAATAGTGGATTGGGAGGGGGAGGGATAAGAGGGGGAAGGGGTAAGAGGGTGGGGGTTTCGTTGTTATTATTCTTACTATTGTAATTTATTTATCAAATACTGGGACTGTTTTGAATTTATTGCGTTTTTACTCCCACTTTTATTTTTAAATGAATCGCTTAAATCGCATATTTGCCGCTCGGCGAACTTTGTAGTTTCAATACAGCGAAATTGTTTGTTTTAAAAGAAAATGCGGAGACGAGCTGCTTCACGCATATTATTCACTTTTACGTGACCTTCTTTGTTTGACCTTTCATCAAGGCGATAAAATATGTGACTTTTAATAAATTCGCTTTAAGAGTTTTCCAGTTTTTAACATAAGATTTTTTCATCACCCTATCTGACCTATGGATTTGCTGCAAGCACTGAGCAATGACACGGACTCACATAAACAATTTGGTCGAATCGTTACCAACTTCAGTTCATTCGACTGATTTGTTCATGTTTTCCATGTTATTTAACACTTTGTGCTTCATTGACTTTTGGATAAATTGTTATTTTTCATTAGTATTTTTCGGTTATTTGGTTCGCAGTGACGGTGAGAAGTTTTATGGGACGTTTGCCTTGCCCTCTCCTTTTTTCCTTTTCGTACGCACTTTCTTATTTTTATCTCGCCATTTATTCTCTTATAAGAGTTCCTTTATATGTCAGCTTCTTTAATTTATCCTAATTTAACTTTATCTTTGACCTATGGAGCCTTTAACTTATCAACTTTAATAGAGAATAAGGGTCAGTGACTATAAACGAAAAATTAGCGAAATGTTTCCTCATGCTGTTTCATCAAAGTATTCTATTCATGTTCACCATAGGTGAATTTTATTATAAGTCGATGGAAGCCAGTAAGATTTGCCATGTTTGAGCGAAGGCCTGCGATTAATTTATAAATGATCTGATGGAGCAGTTCAAATTGATATTTCATTCTTAAATACTTAAATATACTTAAATGTACCTTAATTATGGAACTTTTTATATTATTTAAATATGCCTTTAAATATATAAATTTAGTGAAAATGATTAAATATATTTTTTATTCGATATTACTTTGGTGAAAAATTGTCGATCGACATAAATTAGGAAAAGTTATAAATGAAATTTTGTATTTTAAAATACATTAGGGTGATAAAAGGAAAATCAAAGCGCGAAATAATATTGGTTTGGTGTTTTGCTATTTTTAATTGCCTTAAACGAATGCAAACATTACGTTTTGTTTTTATTATATTTATATTCACCATAGGTGAATTTTATTAGTCGTCGATAATCATTTCGTTGAATTCGTCGTTTTCAAGTTAATAAGTTAAATTTGCTGGAATCTTTGAAAGATTCATTTTTCATTCGTATTAAAATAAATTTTAAAAATTTTTATTAAAGATAATGAGAAGTTTCGGATGGAAAATTATACTACTTTTCGTACATTTTTTCCCATATTTATTCTTTTTTTTTTCGCGTATTTATTTTTGTGATAAATTTTATAAATTTTTTATAAAAAATTCGAATTCAAATTTTCGATTTCATTAACCGAAAATTTTTCTATTTCAGTGAAAGAAAAAATGGAAATGTCGATAAGCGATGATACGGATCTCAGTCAGTTATTAACGCTGAGAGAGAAATTGTTGAGCGAACTTAACATTTCTGAAAATAACATTAGTGATCAATCAAATAGTTCGAGAACAAGTTCGGCTCAACCTGAGGTTCAGAATTTTGGTAAAATTAGTTCTACAGACAAGTGCGACTCAAGTGGGACTCATAAAAATAAATCCAAGTCGAAAAATGTTGATAGTGTTCGGTCTCATTCTTCATGTAGTAGTTCTTCTAAAAGTGAAATTTTCCATCATCCCGGGAATGATGGAACTGGTCATTCTTTAAGTTGCGAAGGCGGAAATTTGATTCAGAGGTAACTTTCAGAAATTTTTCGTGAATTTCATCTGCAATTGTTTTTCAATAAGTTTGCAAAAAAATTGAAAGCTGATATTTTTATTTTTTATTTTAAATTTTATTTTAATATCTTTAGGAAATGTTTAAAGGACGAAACAGTCGTTATAGAAGCAGAAAGTAAGGAATGTGCAGTAATAAAGAATGTAACTTATCAACCTTCTGAAACATGCATTTTTAAACAGAAAAAACGCAAAGCTTTAATGGACGAAGATAGAAAATTGGCAAAATTTCCAAAGATCGAAGATACTCAAAAGATTCCACAAGTATTTTTCACTTTTATCTTTTAATTTATCGGAAATTCCTATCAATATTCCAGTTTTTTTAACAAATTGGTAAAATCGAGTTAAAAGCTTGCAAACTTTGCAAACTTCACGTTTAATATTATACATAAATGCAAATTTTATTCAGTATTCAAATTCAAATATAAATATGTCAAATATGCCAAATAGGTCCAATTCAATTTTGATATTCAAACACGCCTTATCTTTAAAGTAGTATAAAACTTAATATTAGTCGTAGTCTTTTATCATGCAATACATTTTTGGATATTTACATATGTTTGGATATTTTCTTTTAGGCTTAATGGGTTGAATGATTTGTTTACTGTAATATATGTTTAATGTGATTTTATAGGAAACAAAGTTTGAAGAAATACAAGATGGAATTTCTACAGAAATATCAATTAAACAACAACCTACGATTTCTTGTCCATTAAACTTCCTGGATAAATCAATGGAGTATAAATCGTCAACTACACTTTCTCCTCCTTTTTCCTCTTCTCTTCCTTCTCTCCTTCCACCTCCTCCTCCACCTCCTTTGTCTACTTCTGAAGAACAGTTCGTTTCTGATGGAGATCAGATTATTCATTCTTCTGATCAAAGCGATGTGAAACGTAAAGATTTAAATAGATTTAAAGATTTAAGGTAGACGTAAAGATATTAAAGATTTTTAAGTAAATTTGTGCTTAGACACTGCTAATTTTTCGAAAATGGACAGAACGGTCTCCAAATTTAATGTGCTGGTTGACATATTCTTTTTTCTCTTAATATTCCCTGGTTATCTCTATCAGACGTTTTTGTCAATTTTGACTTCATGCCTGAAGTTAATTGAAACTGCGACTGGGTTTATAGGGATTAAAGAAAGCAGCTTAGCAGAAAAATTCAATATAATCCAACTAATGGATTTGAATAAAAGAATACTGCGAGAATTTTGAATTAGTATTAAGGGAATATATTTAAGAAAGTTTGAGAAATTTTTCCTCAAAGTTCACAGTTTTCGAAGGAAGAACGGTTAGAGACTCCGCAATGATCTTGACCGTTTTTTTTATCACTCAGTTCATTGTTTTCATCTTTATAATGTGGGTATTTTTGTTTTTTTTTTTAGCCATTGAACGGAGAGAAATTTCCTTTGCAAACAGTCTAAAAACGAATGAAATGGCTTTGGAAACAGATAATAACGATTATAATTCGTTGGTTTATGTTCTATTTATTAAATTTTATTATTTATTAAATTTATTAAATTTTTAAAATATATTTTAAGCTTAATTCTTTGAAAATTTTTTATTTATTGTAGATATATTATTCATGGAACTTTTATTGTCAATATTTTAGTGATGATTTGAATGATGTGGATGAATTATTGGAAAAACCTTATGAAGACGGTCAACCCCCTGGTAAAATTCCTTTTCCTGAAGATGGTGAAATACGGTTCATTTTTTCACATTTTATCCTTACAATATCCCATATTTAGTTGCTTTCATGTTAATTTACTGATGATCCATTATCTTCTGTTTGAATTATTTAAATTATTTGTAGGAATATTTAATATGCCAAATACCAAATTAGTAAGTTTTTGAATAGTAATTCCCTTATTTTGAAGAATGTACAATATAAAAGTAAATTTTTTCAGTGAAAAAATTGTTCTCGCCTATCGTGAACCAGAACATTTTGATGTTCTGCCGGAAGGTTGGGTTGAAGTCACTCATACATCGGGTCTTCCGATATATTTAGTAAATTCTCTCTTTCTATCCACATTTTTTTCTTCTTTTTTTTTCATTTTCTATTTATTTATTTCTCTTTATACATTGAAGTTTTTAACTTTAAATCGGCGCAAAAGTCTAGAATCATAATTTAATTTTAAATTGCCTTATAACTGGAAAAATGTTGCTAATAGTTTTATGATTAAAAAAATGATAAAAATTTTAAGAAATTTAAAAAAATTTTAGATTTTTTGATATATGAACATGTTTTTAATGCAATTTATTTTCTTTAAATTTATAGTTATTTTAGCACAAAGATTCTCGTGTGTGTACATTTTCTCGTCCATATTTTATTGGACCTGGAAGTGTGCGTCATCATCAAGTACCTGTATCAGCAATACCCTGTTTACATCAAAAACGACTTATCAAAGAAATAGAAAAAAATGCTGCAGCAAGCGCGAATGCTGTTGAAAGTGTCTTAAATGAAACGAAAACAGACAACGGTGACGATGTAGATAATCAAGCCAAGGTTGTTATTGCAAAACTACAGGCACCTGGCGTCAAAGTTCAAGTTAGTGGAATTTCTAAGAAAATTTGAAAATTATTTGTCCACAATTTATTAAAAATTTTAAGAAGAATTTTAAAAATTTTAGACGGTGAAAGACTTCCATGAACGACAGTTGGATGCGAAGGCACTCCATGAGTACGCTTCGAAGATATTTCGCTTCAAAAAAATACAGGTATTTCAATTATTAATAATTGTTTCAATTATTTCGATTAAATTAATTATATTTTATTTTAAGTAAAGGGGAGCTAATAGCATATTTGTTTCTAATCATTACTCTTCTATTTTTTTAGATTCGGCGTTTTAATAAATGGTCGACTACTCGTGATTATCATAGGCAGCGAAAGCTCGCTGAGGCAGAAAGACTTGGAAAATTACAACCATCTATTGAATTGCCAAATGGGCGTCCAAGTTGTTTTTTTCAAATGCTTTTGAATGATAAATTAACATATATAAAGAAGCACTGGTCAAATTACCACTTTTTATTTAGAACACCATTTTTGTTAAAATATCCACCATATATCCAATACATTGCTTTGTATCAGAAATTTTACCTATGGAGAATTAATAATTACTAAGGACATTAATGACATTATATCATTAATATAATTAATAATAAAAATAAATAATAGAGATTTATTTTAGCTCTTCCTTCACACGTGAAATTAATCACGGTACCATCTATGGAGACAAATATGAAGCCTCAGCATAAAGGTTTCTTTTTGAATCCGCATGGCAAAACTTCTGTTGGTATTCTTCATGAATATGTTCAAAAGGTTTTAAAGAGCACAATTGACTATGTTTTCTCAGAAACAAGGCATGTATTTTCATTCAGCCGTTTGATTTTTTTATTTTTTCTCATCTCAATTCATTCTCGAAAATTTTTTTAAATTTTTTTTTATTTTCTTTCTTCAATAAATTTTATTTTTTTTTAATATTCAACAAATTTTATAATTTTTTAATTTAATATTTATAATTTAGCAAATTTATATATATATAATTTATATATATATATTTCATCTTCTTAATTTTATTCCCATTCATATTATTTTTTGATAGTTAATGGGATTAGGATAGCCGAGTGGATAATGGTTATATTACCATGTTGAGAGGTAACGGTCCTTTCCTAAATGGAGTTCACCTGTCATTAAAGAAAATCCAATGCTGACAGTGCTCCTTTATTTCTTGGTAACAATAGGATTGATGACATTATATGCTTAATTATATAAAATATTCTTTAATTTTCTTATATTAATTTTTATGAATTTAATAAATGATTGCAGAAGCTCATCCACGCCATATGGTTGTTCGGCACGTTTAAAAATAAATCTGAGTAATCGAGTAATGACTGCACCAAGCATTAAAGAGAAATTAATGCTATTAAAAGAAAAACAAAAAAGGGAGCAAAAGCTTCTTGAAAGTGGTGAACAAATTGGTATTGGTATTTTAAATAATTTTAATTTATTTGCATATTTTAGTTGATTACATTTCATATAGACGAATGTGGTCATAAACGAATCATTCATTCATTTCAGATTCGGATTTTGTGGTTCTCGGTAATGGTTGTGGTAATAGTAAGAAGGCAGCGAAATTAGACGCAGCTAAAAGCGCTCTAAAAATTTTCATTCCAGAATTAGAATTTGATAATGAATGTATTGCGGTGAGCGAGAAAAAGTATTTTTTCAGTTTTTTTATTTTTATTTAATAAGTTCTTGCATTCATTTTTTTTGGAAGAATACTTCTGCGAATAGTGTTTTTATATTGTCAACTAGTAGGAGATTTATAGTTGTGCAGATATTTTGTAAATTAAAATTTAATTAAATTAAAATTTAATAATGAACTCTTTAAGGAAAATTATTGATACATATGGTTTTGATATTGTAGTAGAACTATTAAAGATTAAAAAAGCGTTAAAATTTTCTACTCAATGGAACAGAGTAAGCTGGAAAATTGGAGAATTTTTTTTTCAGTTCCGTTATCATTATTAATCGGTTTTAGCGAAAATGAAACAGAAGAAGGAACAAATGCGATTGCCCTTTTCGATATGCTTCAGATAGAAGATGAACGCATTCCCGATTTATCAGCTAGAGCTGGTCAACAATCTCCCTATTTACTTTTGCAAGTAAGGCATTTTGATTAAAATTTTGATTAAATTTTTATTTTAAAATTATTGATGTAAAAAGGTGTAAAATAAATTTAGGGGAAATTTGGGTTTAATATACTATAGTATTATAATATTTTCTTTCCTTGTTGGTTATCAAATTCGTACAAGTACCGCCAGTGAGACGATTTCTTTTTCTTTTGCCTTTTTTTTCATTCCCTTTTCCTTTCGTTTCAATTTTTCGTGCATTTGTACTATTTTCGAACTTATAATTTATTTTACTTCAGTTACTTCAGTTACTTCAGTTATTTTCATCTTAAATTTCTTATTATTTTACTGTACTCATCGATTTCATCGGCTTATTCTCTCCCTTGGCTTTTTTCATCAATTAATGAGTAACCCAAATTGAAAATCTGTTAATTTCTATTCTTATGTTATGTCAATTTGGTTTAAAATCTATTTCATATTTATTTATTTCTTATAATACACAGTTTGCATTTCCTTGCGGATCATATATTTGATAATGAAAAGATTTCTTTATTTTTATCAGAAATTTTAGGTTATATTTTAGGCAATAGGTAGGTAATATTTTTTAATGATCTATAGTGGATAAAGTGTTTCTAAAATAAAATAATTCTTCACATTGTATTCTCATTTTTAAATTTTAAAATGAAAAAAAAATCAATCATTTGTAAAATCCATTAAATGCAATTAATATTTAGTTTCTGTCGTCTAATCCAGATTGATAGCGTAAGTGATGGTTCATTACACGAGTCATATATTAGACCTTATTTCAAGGAAAGTAGGTTCGATTTTTGTCACTAAACTTAAATTATTACTGAAAGCAAAAAAAGAAAATAGAAAAAGTAAATAGTAAAAAAAATAAAATCTGAGTGGATATTTACCTTTATTTCTATTTTCACATGGCTCTCTGGCAGAGAGGCAACCAGCCAGTGGTGTCACTACTCAAGCCGAGGTTGATGTTAGTGTTTAAAAAAAGTAGAGTAGATAGATAGCTTAGTAGATAGCTTATTGTTTATTTAAGTGGAAATATAGTAAATATTTCCACTTAAGCGAGATTTATTGATAAAATTCCATTAAATTTTGGATAATCTAAATTTTACTGAGAATTATTATTTTGGAATTAAATGATTATTGAGTAATTTTTACATAAAGGGTGCATAAGGAATAGGATGGCTCAGTGGGTTGTTGCTCAATTAGGAATGCCGATGCTGAGGTTCGATTCGCAAGCGTGAACCTGTCCAAAAATCAGGATAATGCTGGCGACTCATTTGTACTTCTATCGCAGAGGGACTGGCATATTTGTCGAGTGCGACGAGCCAGCGGAGCAAGTTTAATGTTGAGGACTCATGCATACATATACGTGCAAATTTCATATCTTTTTTTTCCTTCTTTTCTCTTTCTTTTTTTTAATTTCGCGTCATTATTGGTTTGGATGACTACACGAGCTACACTTCCAAACCTCTCGGTCCAATGCAAATATCTAAGCAACAGAAGCCATTCCTTTTTCTGCTATACATTGCTGGGTAATTCAAATTAAAGAATAGAATTAGAATTAGAATTTGGCTATATTTTTAAAAATTTTGAAATATTTCGTCCCCTTTCAATTCAATTCATTATTCGTCGAACCAGAAATTCGATATGAAACATGAAAATTTTTGGGCGTCGTAACGACGCAGTAAATACAAAACGGTTGTCTGGCGCCAATGCCTTTCTTTAATCGTATTCCGAGAATTCTGTCTCATCATCAAATTTTTTCTATCTAAAACTATGTTTAATGTTTAATGACGAGAGAGATTAGAACAAATAAATATATTTTGGAATTCAAATAATGTAAATCGCGAGAAGCAAGGAAACGCATGGTACGACTCATTTTTAAGGAAATCCTCTTAATGCCTATGAAAAATCCACTCGTTCCAGCGCTTACTAAAAGAGATGAGAGGAATGTATTTATTAGTTCAGTTATAATTAATCTATAGAGATGACAGTGAGTGATAATTTTTCAAACTTTTATCAGTTTGAATAATGATAATTTTTGATTTACACTTTGGCTGAAGTACGTCAGATCTATTGTCGATCTTGTTGATTGATGTTTTATTCATTTTATAGAGATGATTGAAGATTTATGTTAAGAATCGACTAAGAAGTGAAAAGTGAACGATATGGCGCCGTATAGTAGTGAGTAGTGATACACAAATTAAACATTAAACATTTTTTTTAGCATTAAATAATTCAAGACGTAAATTATGGGCGCCATATTTCGTTGGTCTCTTTACTTGTAGTACTTATGATGATAATAGCGATGATAATGATAATAACGATGGCAAATGCAGATTAGGAAAATATAAACCAAGTAAATACTGTATTGTGTACCATCGTAAATACTTAAATCTTTGAACCTTTTAATTCTTTGATAGGCATATCGCATTATTAATTTTTAAAAAATTATACAAAATTATGCAAATAAATTTCGATGGAATTAATTGGCTCTTTTATTTTTGTCTAAACATTTCTTTAAAAAGTTTACAAATTTTTAAAAAAAATTCAATCGTGAAGAAAGTTTCATATTAATAAAAGATAGCTGTTAATACTGCTAAGTGGTTAGCTTAGCTTTCACCATTCCTCTTAAGTTTGCTCTGTTAACTGATTTTTTGCCAAGGAATCACTAAACTTAAAGCACAAGAAATTAGTTGAATATCAACAATGGTACTCGATTCGTAGTTCAACTTATTGGTACTTCATAACTTAATGAAAAGATGGATAAGTAATTATTGTAACATTGAGATAAATGAAAATTATTGTTTTTAACGATTTTAACTCAAAAAAATTGCTTGTAAGTTTTTTTGAATGGTTTTCTCGATATGCAGAAAATATTTTTCTCAAAAGCATTAGAATTTCATCTATTTCTGAACTAATTAAATCTATAAATTTAAGTGGAATTATTCTTATGAATAACTTTTCTAAGTTTTTTAGGAATGCTTGAAACGAAACGCAGCTTATGGCGATACAGAAGTGAAATTCAATTCAGAGCGAATAAAACATCAGAAACATCAGTTCGATATGGAAATCGGCAAACATCACGTATCGGTTGTGTGCTCAAATAAACGGGAAGGGAAGCAAAAAGCCTCACAAGCAATGCTTAAGAAATTACATCCAAATGTTCGTGAATAATTTAAGAATAATTGTGGATAATTTTAATCAATTAATTTTTTTTTTTTCTTTCAGTAGAATTGCTAATTCTCGATTGAATTCTACAAAAAAATGTTTCAGTTGGAAACTTGGGGTTCACTTCTTCGACTTTACGGTCGCGAGGTTGAACAAAAGCATGAAGCTAGGCGAAGTCGACAAAGCATCATAAAACTTCAAGGTAGCAATCAGTTTTCATTAAATATTGTTCAGGCAGCCCATTGAAATATTTCAATTATTAGGTTCACTTTGGACTAGTAATTGTTGCAGTGGAAGCTATTTGTATACATTTGCTCATAAAAAAGGCGAATGGATAGATAGCGGCTCAGTGACTTATTTGAGGAATGGTTCTTGCTGATTACAGGAGTAAAGCTGTCTTTAAAAGTAGTGGTGCTGACTTATCTGCATTTCTATCCTCAGTCATATTAGCCACCAGCATTAGCCTAGTTGGGGATGCTGAGTACTAAGCATTTAGCCATGAGCTCATAATGATCCCAATTGAATTTTTTTTCCAATTGAAATATTTTTACAACATATTTTGCAATATTTTACAATAAAATTTTACAATGAATGCGATTACAA